CTAAACGGAAAAGCTGTAAGCTGGAAGAGCTATAAGCAAGACACTACCGCAAATTCTACTATAGAAGCAAAGTACATGGCAACTTCTGAAACAGCAAAAGAAGGTGTTTGGATAAAAAACTTCCTCACGGAACTTGGAGTGGTTCCAAGCAGTCGAGACCCCATCCCCTTGTCTTGCGATAACACTAAGGCCATCGCACAAGCCAAGGAACCACGGTCTCACCAGAATACCAAGCACATTGTAAGACGCTATCACATAATACGAGAAGTCGTAGAACGTGAAGATTTAGATATTTGCAAGATAGGATTAGATGAAAATCTAGAAGATTCATTGACCAAAGCCCTGGAAGGATTAAGCACGAGGGTCAAACTTCGTTCATGGGCATTCGAGAAATGCATAATTGGCCTTAGTGCTAGTGGGAGATTGTTTAATATATGTAAGACCTAGAGGCCAACTAATGATTTGTATCTGGATTATTTCAAGAATAAAAGCTTTAAATACTGTTTAAATTATCTCGTGTACTTAAAGCATAACTTTAGTTTATAGATTAGTGCTCTAGTAACATAGATGAGAACTACGCTGTTCTGATTGTGAGACTGTTACAAATATACAGACTAGATCTAAAATATCCTTAGTCGAATATTATGATAATACAGACGTCATAATGTAATAAGACTAATACGTGTGAGATAAGACAGTTGCGTCTCATAGGCTATAGATAAGGCGTTATCTGAATCTATATGTAGGCAAATATATTGGATATATTGCTGGATTGACCCTCCATAAAAATACTATATGGGTTTACCTTGAAATGTGCTAATAGTATTTTCATACGACCATTTATGTAACTATCCCTGGACTTAAAGTCATTACGATTCTTGGTGAGTATAACTACATGTTTTGAGATATAATTAATGTCATTTGAAATATTAGTGGACGTATAATTATGTCTTGGGCATGCAGTAAAACTTAAGCAAAAATATGAATGATGTAAATAGAATTTATCCCTTCTTTTATGGAAGTATAATATCTATGGGCCCACTGAATGATGTGACTTGGGAAGTGTATGGTCATGCCAAGATAAATTAATATACATGATATTAATGTTATCTCAATCCCACAAGTCAATCAAGATAATCAGTAAACCTTTGATTTAACTTTAACAAGGTAACACATCTCATGCCTTGTGTTAACTCAAGACGTTAGTGATAAAGGGATAAGAGTTATTAAATGTAATGTGTCGTTGAAGGAATTGTTCTAAAAGCTTCATATCTATAACTTCAGGGTGACAATGTGTTGCTAGATATCGCTTGTTACTTGTAGTATTTTAATACTATGGCCAACGTTATGAGTAACCTAGAAGAGGGTCACATACATAGAACATTTGATGGTGTAGAATATTGTTATGGAGTAAAGTAAAATATTCAATAAATATTTATACATATTACGTATGACACAATATTTAAAATTATATATATTTGGACATTTTAATTAAATGATAAATAAGTTTGTAAAATATCATTTTACTTTAAATATTTACGTGTGTGTGTGTGTGTGTATCATAAGAATCATCTAGATGGATCAAGATCTCATGGCTATAAGGCATTCTTATTTCTTTCATTAGATCCCTTTCTCACCGGAACTAATATATATATATATATATATATATATATATATATATATATATATATATATATATATATATATATATATATATGTATGTATGTATGTATGTATGTATGTATGTATGTATGTATGTATGTCTCTGTGTGTGTGTGTACACACACACACACACATAGAGAGAGAGATCGACTCCTGTTAGATTACACCTTATGACCTTACGATTAGATGACATGTTACGGTCAGATGATGCAAAACTCACCATTGGCCACTACAAAGCTCACCAAGGACAAATGGACAACTATGAAGCTTACCAAACTCTAAGGCAAAACTCACCATATTTTTCAACACTTCGAGTTTTTTTTTTGAAAAAAATAAAATCAAAGAAAGGGGTGCTGACTAGATTTTGACCTTGACCGCCACCTTTGACCGCTGCGTGCCGCCTAACGCTGCCACCACCCGCCGGCCACCACCGGCTGCTGCCGCGCCGCCACCGCTTTTTTGCTATCGGACCGTTGCCACCTTCCGCCACCGTTGCTCCGCCGCCTGCTAGACGTCGCTGCTGACTGGTGTTGCTATTTTATTTCTAAATAATTTTTTTTAATTTTCAAAAATTAAAAAAAAAGGTGAGCTTTGGTGTTCAAAGTGGCGAGCTTTGGTGTTAAATCAATACCTGATGGAATGCCAGCTGAGATCTCAAGCTAACACAATTAAGGGCAATCTTAGAAACATACTCCCAGGAGTGATTGCTTGGTGTACCTGGAAATAGTATGCAGCCATGGCCTTCGGAAATGAAACGGTAAACCTCTTCTCAATCACAATGGACATCAAGGCAATGATCAGTTCTTGGTGCTGGAAGTACAGGAAAAAAGCTTGGATGATCAGAGATGAGACACTCACAGCACAGGGACTCCAATTATGTCTGAATATGGCTCGGAGGAATCAAAACGCCAACGAAGAAGGAGACTGATGACTTGCGAAGCTCTTTTTGTTTTTCCCTTACGTCATTCTGTCTGTATTTTTGCTATTTGTCTTACTTTTGGGGCATTGGTCATGTCCTCCCCAAACGTGTACCTTCAAACTAGTTAATAAAAAATTTATATATATAAAAAATACACACACACCCACCCACACACACACAGATATATATATATATATATATATATATATATATATATATATATATATATATATATATATATATATATATATATATATATTTTGTGTTAATTATTTGATAATTAAAGTTGACAAAATTAATTGGAAGTTTCTAATATTGTAGAGTCGAAAATGTCACATGTTAATAAGGAGAAGAGTTTCATTTCTTTCTTAAATGTCAAAAGATAGATACCTAATAGGATTAGGAACTAAGGGTGATTATGATCCTTATAAATAAGGAGATAATCTCTTCTTCTTGAAGGAGGGATTTTCGGCCATCACCATAAGAGAGAGAAAATTTGTTTTCTTCTTTTAATCCAAATATTTTACTCCCTCCGTCCCAGAGTATTCGTCCAGTTTTGATTTTTGGATCTGTTCATCTAAGCACTTTGACTCATCAAATTCTCTTAATGTGTAAGCCTAAATATAGTCATGTGTGATCTTGTTTGATTTGTCTTAACATATAGATTATTAATATATAATTTCTATAATTTTTTAATATACAAATTACAAGATAAAATGGATTAAAGAAGTTTATTGGATGGTGTGTAAAAATGAAAGTGGGCAAATACTCTGGGACGGAGGTAGTACATTTTAGAAATATCCTAGAGAAAAATTAGTAGCATAATATTTCTATAGAACATCATTCAAAGTTCGTGTGTATGCACTAGAGGTGATATACTTTTGTGGCTAAAGCTCTTGGACCAATCCCATCAGCCACACGTCGTAGCTTGTTTGTCAATAAAGGTATACTTCTAACAATAACTCATAGTTTTCATAAGGGATCTTGGGTGGATCTACATTTGGACATCAAAATTTTTATATTTTCACGGCTCTATCCATGTGTAGTTCCCAACAACAAAGATGAGAGTAACTCCATGGGGATTTATAGAGGATCGTGTGGGGTGTTTGATTTTGTAAAGTGGTAGTTGGGAGAAGGTTAAAGAGATGGGCTGCCATGTGAAGAACTTTCACCCAAAATTAAGGTGGACGTTGTGCCTGAAAGAGGAGAGTGTGGATGGTGTTGTTTATGGTGCGGATGATGCATTCTGCTCAACCATTTTGTTGGCTAGTGTGGGGGAAAGAAAAACAAAATAAAATGCCTAAAGAAACTAAAATAGTTTTTAGGGGGAGTTGCAGTATCCAGTATCGTTGTCACATTGAACCGATTTAATGGTAGTATATATTAAAGTGATTTTTGACATAATTGACAAGGGAAGTGAGGTGAGTAAAGGCATTAGACTTATTTTTTAAGGGAAACACCGAGAGATAATGGGAAAAATCTCCAAGAGCAACGTATAATGTTTAAACTAGTAATACTAGGAACATGACTGTGTGAATATAAAGTGTAAATGAGCGGAAGGGCTGTAGGTGGAAACACCTGTAACCCGGTTTATTATTGATGAAAGTAGGACTATTACAAAATACAAGTCGTGTAGGTTAATTAAAGCCTACCTCACAAATAAGGCTTTTAATCCTATTTATAATAATCTCCAAGCACGTCAAAAACGTCTTTGTTCATCAGGCTCGTCAACCCTCGGCCGGTCAGTTTCCATACCTTTGCCAGACGAAGCCATGTTTGTGATTTCGGATCTTCTCACCCCTGACCGGTCTGACTACCCGGGCCGACTAGGTCATGGGGTGGTGGATTTGATACCTCCCGGTCGGTGCAAACCTACTGGGTGGAATCCATGGGTTATTACCCATCAAGGAGTCCTCCAATTCCCAGCTCTGTGGGTACCATCAGGGGCGGGAAGCATATGCGAGCTTCTTCTCGAATTTCAACTCCCTGGGAGATTTTTGGCAGGAAAATGGCACTTGTAAACCGGCGCCAAAATAAATACATTTGAAATTTGAATTTTGAAATCCCGGGCGTCATAGGCGGGGGGAATCTTTATTGGAATCCGGTATGGCGCCGCCGATTTGTCGCGCCATTTCGTCTTCTCGAGAAGTTATCATTACAAATTATTTCAGCTTCCACGTGTCGCTCCACTATTTGTTCGGCTGGGCAGCACCTCCCCTATATAAATTAAAGCGAGGTTCACCCTTGAATTTTCTCACTTGCAATTTGCTATCTAAAAATCTGCCCGGTTGCTTTTACTGTCTCTCGAGTCCTCCAAGTCTTCTAGTTTCAAGTAAGTCTCTTTTCCCTTTCCTTGCTTCTTTTAGTCATGTCTGACCACAAGGATAGCTAGAACCCTTCTGTTCATTCTTACGGTTCTGGTGCCCGGTCTGAGACCTCCAGTTCCCAATCCTCTTCATCTTCCGAGCGCCCGGCTGCTTCTCCACAGAAGAAGCCAATTGATGCTTCCACATGTGCCCCTTCTTCTTCCGCGGCACAAGTGGTCTCGTTGCCCGGTCTGGGGAGGAGGGCTTCATCGTGTTGGATGACCGGTTGCTCCAAGAGCAACCGTCGTACATGCAGAAAGCTCAAGTCCTTGAGCTGCGCAACCTCATGCCGGATGGATACCAACTGACCTACCGCGCGACGTGGAAGAACATTATTTCTCTCCACACTGGTACGACGATTGGTATCCATTACCATTCTATCAAGGACTTGGGTGAATTTTCCATTCACCCCTTCAAAGCCCTTTTCTTTGAAACGTACGGGATCATGCCCGGACAGTTGGCCCCAAATGGTCACCGTATATTGAGCATCTTCATCAATGTTTGTCGCTTTCTCTGCATTCCTCTCTCTCTTCGCCTTTTCGACCACATGTTTGATGTCCGGCCCGGGTACAAGGAAACCCTTGGATTTGTGATCGTGTCCTCTCACTAGGGCCGCGCATTCCTTTCCGGTCTTCCTCCTTCAAACAAGGGTTGGAAGGACAAATATGTTTCTATCAAGTTTCCCTCAGGTGCTTTTCCTTTCGCCCAAAATGCCTAGGGGAAAAGGATGAAAGCCCAGGTCAAGCCCAGGGAGACTGATGACCTGGCCGCCTGGGAGGCCAGTCTCCGAGCCGGGGACACCTCCACCTGCGGTCCCTATAACGTTGGGAAGTGGGGGGTCTACCTGGGTTGGGAGACTGACCCTGAACCAGAGATTGTTTTGGAAGAGGCAATCCCAGACGCCATTCCTCTCTGCCGCGTGCAAGGGTCCAACGCCTCGGTTTCTACCGTCGCCAGTTCCTCGCGCGAGAGGAAGAAGAAGGAGAAAGGTCCAACCATATTTCCTTTCTTAATTTGCCTGTTTATTTTTTTTTGTTTTGTTTTGCAACTCTTTCTTACTAACCGGTCTATGTTGCAGTGGTGAAGTTCAACTCCAAGTTCGCCACTCCCCGAATTGAGGATGTGGAGGAGCCCTCCAACGCCCAACCTTTCAGCCAGCCCTCTGGCCAGCCGCTGATGCTGGATGACCAGCCGGCCCAATCTCATCAGGGCACCATCCATCCCATCCACTCCGAGGAAATCTACATCAATGTCGATACCATGGAGTTTTACGCGATCTTGATGGAGACCGGCCATACACTAGAAGCCGATCAGGGTGGTCAACAAGCTGTGGGGGGTGGCGGCGAAGAAGAGGCTGCCCAGGAGGCCCTCTAGAGGAAGAAGCGGAGGACCCAAACTGTGGACAAACCTGCCCAGTCCTCTGACGCCGGCAAAGGACGAGGTGAGCCCCGGTCTTTTGCAATGATGGTCAGATCAGACGAGGAGCTCTTCCAAGCCTTCTGCTCCAATTTGCAAGAGGTAACTCCCCAATCTTTTTCACATCTTTACCATTGTATTTCTAAGATTATATCTCTGAAACGTTTTTATCTTTTTGAAGCAGGTCGGCCTGATCGCCCAGGAATGGTTCACCCGGCTGGTGAAATCCAAGGAAGAGGAGAAGGCGCGGTTGGAGGGCATGATGGTGGCCTGCCAGAAGGATGCCCAAGCAGCCCACCAGAAGGCAGAGAAGGCCGAGGAGAAGCTGCTGGAGCATTGTGCGGCCTTTCGCAAGCTCTATGCCAAGCATGAAGGGCTGCTGAAGGCTTCCAAAGAGGTCGATGCTCAAGCTCAGGAGAGAATCTAAGAGCTTGAGGGGGAGAATGTCGAGCTGAAGGAGAAGGCCGCTGAATCTTCCGGCGAAATTGCCCAGATGAAGGCCGAGCTAGAAGCAGAGCGTGCTGACCGAGCTTTACTTGCTGCTGCCTGGGCGGTCCAAGAGCCAAAGCAGTTTGCTGCCCAGGCGATTCCTAACCGGGAGACAGCCATCCGCTTCTTCTAGGGCCTTTATAAACACGAAGTATCGGCCAAGGTCATCGATGAAATCGGGACCTTTGGTTTTGAAAGTGGCCAGTATGAAGAACGCCGGGCGCTGTACGGCATTCTCCGGAGGTGGATTCAAGGTTTCGAGCCCAAGGCCCTCTCTCTGCCTGAGCTACACGATGAAGCACCGGTCGCACCCTTCGAAGGGATCTGAGCTCAAAGCCCTTCTTCTTCTCCTCTTTATTTTTATTTCTATATGTAATGAACAACCTCCAGGCATTTTTGTAAAACATTTTGATATATTAATGATATTCTTATTTCCATATTGTGTGCTGAGTGCCAGATTACTTTTCGGGTTTATGCTTTAAAATAATTTGTTAGTTTAAACTCATTGCCGGGTAAGTGATTCAGCTATAGCCCGGCTGTAGCTACCCGGTCTAACTCAAAATTCACCCAAGTCCTTTCGGAAGACTGACTGGGTGACTGGGGAGAGGTGGGGTCCGACCGATCTCTTCCCCAATCGGTTTTTGACCTGTGATGGCAATTTACCATGTCCTTTTCGAAAGGATGATTTTTTTCCTGGGTGTAAGCAAAGCCGGCTTACCTTTCACATTGGCTTTCTGCCCGTGCTAAAAGATAAGCCTTGCATTTTTTTGATCGTTTGACCTAACCAAGCGAGGATGCTCTCCCTTTTTGGTTACGTCATTTGATTTCTTATTAGTACGGATAAAGAGTTTGAACGGTTCAACTGGTCGTTCCTCTCTTTTTGTTGGATGTTCAATTGGATTGAACATCTAACCGGTCTAGTCGATCAATGACCAATTCCTGACTGGAACTAAGAACAACCTTTCTGAAAAGAACAAAGTTTTATTCATGACCAGGAACTCATTACACTTTATCTAAAAAAATTTGCACAAGTGGTGAGAGTTCCAATTCCGGTCAACTCGTCCACCCTCTATGGTCTCAAGCTGATAAGTGCCCGGTCGGATGATCGCCCTTATGCGATATGGTCCTTCCTAGTTGCGCACTAGCTTGCCTCCTTCATTAGGCTTAGTGGCATCCCTTCTTCGCAGGACTTCATCGTGCACTTGGAAGTAACATAGACCTACCCGGTTATCATGATATCTCAATACTGATTGTTGATAACCGGCCATTTTGACAGCCGCCATCGTTCTCCGCTCCTCCACCAAATTCAATTCAGCCATGTGGTCGGCCTTGTTCTGACCGATCTGATACACGACTTCTCTTAATGTTGGGAATTCTGCCTCGATTGGCAACCGGACTTCACATCCATAAGTGAGCACGAATGGCGTCTCCCCGGTTGTTCTTCTTGAAGTCACCCTGTGTGCCCAGATCGTATGAGGTAGTGCTTCCAACCATTTGCGCCCCTCTTCACCCAACCTTTTCTTTAGCCCCTCCACTATCGTCCGGTTAGCATTTTCAACTTGACCATTTCCTTGGGGATACGCTACTGACGCCTTGTTGTGCTTGATCCCAAAACTGGCCAAATATGCAGTGAACCGGGGATTGCGAAACTGTGGACCGTTATCGGTTACAATCATCTTTGGTGCCCCAAACCGGGTGATAATGTTCTTCTAAACGAATTTCTCACATTGCCGCACGGTTATGGTGGCCATTTCCTCGGCCTCTACCCACTTTGTGAAGTAATCTATGGCAACCATCACGAACTTCTTCCCGCCTTGCGCAACCGGGAACGCCCCAATAATGTCAATCCCAAATCGGGCAAAGGGTATGACATTAGAGGTTGGTTGGTAGTACGTAGCAGGTCGGCCAGGATGTTTGTAAAAGACTTGGCATGTCCTACACTTTTGCACATACCTTTCACAATCTCTAACGATGGTCGGCCAATAATAGCCGAGCCAAATTATCCTTTGGGCCAGTGTTCTAGACATATGATGGGCAGCACAAACTCCCTCGTGTACCTTGGCTATCACCCGTTCTACCTCTGGATTGGTGAGGCAATGTAGTAGAGGCCCTCCGATAGCACGTTTGTATAAGTGACTGTCCAGAATCTGAAACCGGGGAGCCTGCAAGACTACCTTCCTGGCCCGCTCTTCGTCGTCCGGTTTCTGGCCGGTCATTAAGTATTCCATGAGGTTGTATCTCCACTCATCATCCGCCCCAATCACTCCTACAGCCGAGCTCTGACATTGTTGGATGGCCGCGACCTCCAATCGGTCAGCACTCGATTGGTCCAATATCTCAATTTTAGCCAACTCTGATACATGCTCCGGGCAAGCTTGCATCAACTTGGGAAGCATATCAGCATCAGTGTTTTCCGACCGGGGTATCCTAGTCAGACAGAATTCTTCCAACTCTCTCAAAAGAGCTCGGATCAGATCGCTATACCGGGCAAGACGTTCTTTTTTGACTTCCATTTCTCCATTAACTTGTCTGACATCCAAGCTTGAATCAAACCAGATCTTCATTCTCTTGATACCGAGTGCTCGGGCTAACCTGAGTCCGCCGGCCAGTGTCTCATACTCCGCCTCGTTGTTGGTAAGTTTGAAGTTAAAAACCAAGGTATGGTAGATCTTGAACCCTTCCGGAGTAGTAAAGACTATGCCAGCCCCGCATCCCTTCGGTCTAGAAGCTCCATCAACGGCCATGTCCCACCACAGTTCAACCACATGGGATGGCCCCTCTTCAGGCTCCAGACCTGTCAGTTCAACCAGGAAGTCGGCCAGGGCTTGGCCCTTGATTGCGGTTCGAGGTTTATAATCGATCTTGAAGTGGGTGAGCATCATTGCTTACTTTATCATCCTTCCCGAAGAAGTTGAGTTACGGAGGACCGGTCCAAGTGGCTGATCGGTCAGTACTTCTACAGTGTGAGCTTGGAAGTATGCGGTCAGCTTTTTGGCCGTTACAAAAAGTGCGTATGCTGTTTTTTCAATGGTAGTGTACCAGCTTTCTACCCCGTTAAGTGCTTTGCTCACATAGTAAATAGGCCTCTGGCTGTCTTCGTTTCTTATCAAAACAGAGCTTACAGCGTTTTGGGATATGCCCAGATACAAGTACAAAGTTTCACCCGGCTTGGGTTTAGATAAAACTATATCGGAAACTAAGTACTTCTTCAGCAGCTGGAACGCCTCTTCACATTCATGGTCCCATTCGAAAGTATTGGCCTTCTTCAAAACCATGAAGAAGGGTAGGGCCCTCTCAGCTGATCGGGATAGAAAACGGCTTAAAGCTGCCAATCGCCTGGTCAGTCGTTGCACGTCTTTCAGGGAACCGGGCGACCTCATCTCAGTTATCGCCTTTATCTTCTATGGGTTTGACTCAATCCCCCGCTTTGTTTCCATGAACCCCAAGAACTTGCTGGTCTTTACAGCAAAGACGCACTTCTTGGGGTTGAGGCGCAAGTTGTATTTTGCCATGATCTCAAAGCATAGCCTCATGTCAGCCAGGTGGTTTGTTGCTCCCGGGCTCTTGATCAGCATGTCATCCACGTAGGCTTCCATGGACTTACCGAGGAGTGGCTTGAAAAGCCGGTTCACCATCCGCTGATAAGTGGCGCCTGAGTTCTTAAGTCCAAATGCCATCACTCGGTAGCAATACGTGCCTTCGGGAGTTAGGAAAGATGTTTTTTCCTCATCTCCTTTGCCATGAAGATTTGATGATAGCTTTTGAAGGCGTCCATTAAGCTCAACAATTCACACCCGGCCGTCTCATCGACCATTTGGTCAGGACTGGGCAGTGGATATGAATCCATGGGGCACGCTTTGTTGAGATCCGTGTAATCTACGCACATACGCCAAGTGTTGCCCTTTGGTGCCAAGATGACATTAGCCAGCCAGGCTGGGTATTGGACTTCTCTAATGTGCCCGACTGTTAACAGATCCTTCACTTCTTTCTTAACAAACTTCCTCCAGACGTTCGCCAAGTGCCTCTTCTTTTGTTTTACAGGCCGACTACCTTCCATTACAGCCAGCCGGTGGTAGATAATGGAACGATCAATACCCGGCATATCCGCCACACTCCAAGCAAATATGTCAGTGTACTCCCAAAAGACTGAGATGATCTCTTCTCGAAGTCCCTCGGATAGGTCCCGGCCAATCCTCACCATTTTCTCCGAGAACGCCTCCCGGAGAACAATCTACTCAGTCTCGTTACCCGGCTCTAACTTCGACCAGTCTTCCTCTTGGGAAACCAGGGTGACCCTTTCGAATGCATTTGTCATCTTCTTCACAGCTTTAAGATAACAAGACCGGACTTTCTTCTGATCTCCTCTGACTTGTCCTATACCGCCCGGTGTATAGAACTTCATGCACAGGTGGGCCATGGAGATGATTCCACAGACCTTGTTAATTCCTGGTCGGCCCAAGATGGCATTGTGAACACATTTGATGTTCACTACCACGAACCTCGTCTGATTTTGTATGACTTTGTCCCCCGTGCCCAATTCGCATGTCAAGAGGATTGACCCTTCAGCTTCAACAGAGTCCCTGGTGAATCCGGACAGGGGAGTTTTTAATGGCTCAAGCCGTGTTCGACACAGCTTAAGTTTCTCAAAAGCCTCTAGGTATAAAACATTGACACTACTGCCCGTGTCGACGAGTACCCGGGAGACATCAACTCCACCCATTTCCATGGTTATAACCAGAGGATCATTGTGATCTTCCTCGGTGGCGTGAAGATCTCGGTCCGTGAAAGTGATCGGCTCCCGTCTAGTTTGCTTTTGCCGGGGATCTAGGGCAACTGTCCCTACATAGAGTTCACGCCCCCACTTCTTTCTTTGAGAAGCAGAATCTCCTCCCTCAGGTCCCCTGTAAATTACCTGTAAGTGCTCCTTGCCGGCTGCTTCCTTCTTTTTGTTTTGATCGGCCGGTTGTCCTTCAGACCGGATCCACTGGTTCTTTTGTTTTGCCTAGCCTAGATACTCTTGATCGAGTTCCCCGGCCTTGATCATCTGCTTTATCACTCTCTTAACACTATTGCACTCAGTAGTGTTATGAAGTCCATCTTGTGGAAAGAACAATACTTCTCTGTCCACTGCCTCTCTCTGGTTGGTTTCTTCTCCGTATTCACAGGTTTTACCTCCATTACTTCCGGTTTTAACCTGCCGGGCAGTTCAACTTCCTTCTTTACGGTGGTCCTTCCCTTAGGATGGCATTGCTCGGCTTCCCTCTTGGAAGAAACCTGAGCCCCAGCATCTGCATAATCCCAAGCCGTGTTGTAGGCCTCTTGGTAGGACTAGGGAGGTCTCCTGCAGAGTTCTTTGTATAATTCTTCGGAGCTGAGCCCGGCGACTAGGAGGGACATAGCGGTTTTGTCGTCCATCTCCTCCACCTTGTCAACCTCATCCTTCCACCGGGTGAGGAACTTAGTCAGATCCTCGTGCTCCCTCTTCCCGGCTGTACTCAAGTAGGTAAATGTTTTCCTCTTGGTACAATTTTCCTTAAACTTCTCCTGGAATACCTCAGCCAGTTCATCAAAAGAATCGATCTCGCCGGTCGGGAGATTGTGAAACCACTCTGCAGCTCGGCTGTGGAGGGTTTGGAAGAAAAGCAAACACTTTTCGTCCCCGGTAAGGCCCATCATTCTTCCGCTTTCGTGGAGAGTTTTGATGTGTATTTCTGGGTCCTCCTTGACAGTGAATTTTGGGACCTCAAGCTTTGCCTTTTTAGGGAACGAGGTCTCATGCACCCGGTCAGTGAATGGAGATCCATTCAGCAATACTTTCTTCTTTCCATCCCGGTCTACCCGTCGTTGCAACTTCTAGAATCGTGTTTCCACCCGGCCTACACGGTCCCTGGGTTGTTCAATGTGTGTCCGGACCATGTGCCTTGGATGACTTTCCGCTTCCTCTTCTTCCAGAGGCGCCCGGCTGTGCTGGGGTTCATAGCGAGGGGGTGGTTCCGTTCGCCTGGTCCGACCAGGTCGCCCAGCCCCTCTCCCCAGCTTGTCAAAGGCACTCACTGGGATTGTCTCCACCCCCAGTCGCTCTTTGGCCAGTCGATTCTGGTTCCTGCCATCGTGTCCTAGTCTCTGGAATGCTGACCTCCTGGATCCTTCCGGCTGGATTGCCTTACCTTTTAGCTTCTTTTGAGCCTGGGGAACATCCCAGTCCTCATCTTTGTTGTGGACTGAACGTACATCCCTGTCTGGTGTAATTTGGGTGTGTGATCTTCAGGACCGACTCCTCCTAGACCGGGACATGCCAACTATATCCATTTCTCCGACTAGATTCGTCGGAACAATCGACCGGATGATGTTAGTTTTTGGGAATGATGGTGGAAGCCCGGTCACGCTTGGGAAAGGAGCACTTTGGGGCAAAGTTTGTGGGTACAACCCAGGAATGAAGGGGGAAAACCCTCCCGGCTGTTGGAGCATGGACATGAATTGTCCAAAACTTTGGAACGCCTGGGAGTACATCGGGTCAATGGGCCCGGGAAAATTTGGAGGAAATACAAGGACAGAAGTTATTGGGGAAGTGAACGGGGTGGGTGTTGGAACGGTGATTATAGGGGTAGGGATTGGTGTAGTGGGTAGAGCACTTCCTCCCGGGAACGGGATAACGTTCTCGCCGGGGGTAGAAATTTGTGAGATGATGGTTTTACCGGGGTAACATTCTCCCCGGGTGGCGCCAATTTGATGGTGTAAATACCGTGTAAATATAAAGTGTAAATGAGCGGAAGGGCTGTAGGTGGAAACACTTGTAAACCCGGTTTGTTATTGATGAAAGTATGACTATTACAAAATACAAGCCGTGTAGGTTAATTAAAGCAAGCCTCACAAATGAGTTTAGACTACCCGGGCCGACTGCCTCACAATAGTCCTATTTATAATAATCTCCAAGCACGTCAAGCATGTCTTTGTTCATCAGGCCGGTCAATCCTCGGTCGGTCAGTTTGCATGCCTTCGCTAGACGAAGCCAAGTCTGTGATTTTGGATCTTCTCACCCCTGACCGGTTAGACTACCCGGGCCGACTGGGTCATGGGGTGTTGGATTTGATACCTCCCGGTCGGTGCAAACCTACCGGGTGGAATCCATGGATTATTACCCATCACAACTAAATGTCCAGCATCACTTGGACATTATTCTTCTCACTGGTCATTATTAAGTCCTATTTAGGGAATAAAAAAGTTTAAGTCCTACATTAGGAAATGACTTATGTTTTAGTCCTATTCACTGCAAATTTCTCTTGAGTATATAACTTCTCAATATGTTTGAAGCACACCAAATCTATACCTCAACTTAGATTATTTGAATCTATGATCTCCAATTTGAAAGAACTAAAGTTATGGCATTCCCATTGATCAAGATGTTGGAATTTTTGACATTTTAATAGGTATTAAATGAGCCAATTTTGGACATAATTCTCAATAGGTCCACTAGCGGTTTTAACCGTTAATTAATGCATGTGGGTTCTCTTAGAAAAAGAGATAAATAAATGTTTTGATATATTATAAGCCAAAATGGTATAAGGGTGAATGAGAAATTGATTCTCAAAATTTACCCGCTAAAATAGAACGGTATGGTTGATGCATGTACATGCATATTTTATTGAACCAATCTTCTATAATTTTTACACAATATTTAAAATTAGTCAATTTTACGGAGTTAATAGATCATTAATCTCCAAATATTCGGGACAAATTTTAAACGGGGCGTAGTGTAATGGACGTGTTAATGGCTATCATTAACATACAACTAATACACCACTTATGAGTATCATTATGGTGTAGGCTAGACCTTCGAAATTCTCTAGCCTATTAAAAAGAGAGAAAGTACTTCATCATGATTACTTTGTTGTGCCATACCTCAGAAGAAGAGGAAAGAAAAAAATCCCTTTATTTTTTGAGTAAATTCCATAAAGAAATATTTGCACTAAATAGCACTAAAACTTAAATCATTTCCCTAAATAGTACTTAAATTGTTTTATTCCCTAAATGGCACTTAATAATGTCTATAATGACCAGTGATGACAAACATTTACTTGAATAATGACTAATGGATAATGACTAAAAGTGCTACTTTGGAAAAAAATACATGTAGTGCTATTTAGAGAAAGTCATTATGTTTTAGTGATATTTACGTAAATTCCTCTTCCATAAAAGGTCCCCATTTATAGGTCGTTTTACATATTTAGTCCCTACATATCAAATATTACTAATTTAGTCCCCAATTATTATATTCATTTCCACGAATGGTCCTTTGTTAACATTTCCGTTAAGAACGCGGATAAAATTGTAAATTCACACTCCTTTCTTTCCTCAATTAAGTTTCCTCCCTCCCCTCGCACTCCTTTCCCAAACTCGTCGCTGAGTTTGAAGCTTTGAACCCAAAACCAAAACCATCACTCTTCTTTCAATCGTTTGTCTAATTGGTGGAACCCAAATTCAAAACCAGTAACCTTCATGGATGAGTTTTAATGTTTATTTTCTTTGCAATTTCTTGAGATTAACTGATAAAACTCATCCATAAAGCTTATTGGTTTTGATTTTAGGTTTCACCAGGAAGACTAATAATTGAGAGAGGAATAATATTTTAGTTTTGGGTTAAGAGCTTGAAACTCAGCGACGAGTTTAGGAAAAAGTACGATAGGAGGGAAGGAGCTTATTTGAGGAGACAAAGAAGTATGAGTATACAATTTTATTCATGTTCTTAACAAAAACATTAACAAAGGACCATTCGTGAAAAATGATATAATAATTGGAGACTAAATTACTAATATTTGATATATAAGGACTAAATATGTAAAACGACCTATAATTGGGGACCTTCTATGGAATTTACTCTTATTTTTTTAAGAGAGAGCTCTTGTTTTTCATCAAAATTTCCGGCAATTCCCTTCAAGGTTTTTTTGGTCGTCAACGCTTCTACGCTGTTCTTGTTCGTTGATGTGTGGTTGGTCCGTACAATCACCACACACAATAGCGGTTTTATCCTGGGGAGGGGAGTTCTCACGTTTTTCCGGTACGGTAGGCGGACACTACTACCTTAAGAAAAGCTTCAGTGACTCCGCTGCCCTTCTACGGTGTTTGGTTTTTTGTAGATTTCGTTTATAGGTTCCACATTCTAGTTCGCTACTTTAATCTTGTGCACTGTACAAAATCTTCATTGTCGAGCAAGGCTTTTGAAGATCGGAAGATAGATATTTTTATTTATTATAATTAAATTTGAATAAATTTGGATTTCTTTTATTTTATTCCGGGTCCGTTCATTTTCCCTGTCCGTTGTAATCCGTACGTGGTTTGGAACAAAAAATTATCTAAATACACACATTCCTACCTTATTTGCCCAACAAATTTTTAATTATTTCGTTGGATTCCCAAAGATCAAAAGTTCTCTGAATATGTACACAAACACCGGGGAAGATAATTTAAATATTTTTTGTGAAAGTAAAATAATTTAAATGATTGATAAGTTATTTAGGGATATTCCTAAAAGTAAGAGATCGATAGTTTTGTAAATAATCTAGTCAAAACTAACAGAGAAACAAAATCTAGCTTAAAAATAAATAGGCAAGACCTACTTATTTTTTTGACTTATTCGCAACTTATAAGTCAAATTATAATTATGGAGAAAGTGGTCATCATTTGATTAAAAATTAAAAACAGCTTATAAGCAGTTCTGACCCTATTAAGGAAAACACTCACATATTAGTACTCCGTACATGCTTTTGAATTTGTTTTTTTAAAACCTTTTTCTTGATAAGCCAAATAGCTAGAAATCTCAAAGTTGCAGAAAGGAAAATAATTACTCGACACATGTGGTGGGATTAATTAATTATAGTGCACATACATTAGTTCCTCATTCATTTCCTATGGGTAGAGGTGTGAAAAAAGTTGTACCATATCATAGTGATGGAAACAATTCAATGAAAGGTGGGAAGCTTTGGGGGTCATCCTATACAATCTTTAGCATGCTCTCTCTTCTGTGACGGCAAGCCAATCGGTTTTGTCTTTATTGTCCTTGTAGAGTTATAGGTATAATTATTTTCTTTTCGAAATTTTATCCTAACAAAATTTTAAAGTGAAACATCATTTTTTTGCCTAGTTTCTCTTCTACCATACCCCACAGCTTTAGCCTTTATGTGTCATTGAACTGTTTAGTGAAAGTCGCCCATGCAGCATCATGTACTACGATGCTAGAGATTAAGAATGGTTTGGGAAATGGGAAGATGTTCAAAACTTTCTTTTTGGTGTTAAAAAAATTTTCTTTGCAAAATATTAGCTAAACCTGCCATCGGTCAAATTTTTCCATTCAATGTCTACTTTTTTTTTTTTCAGTGTTCTGAAAGGGAAAGAATTTGGATTGTTCGATCAACATCCTGAATTTACTTCTCCAATCAAAGTAAGGTTAAAATTTATTTTCATGTTTAAGGATAAAATGGTTCGGGAAATGGGAATTATTTTCATGTTTCAATTTAATATGTTTGACTAAAGGTAATTTTAATCCAATTTATTTAATTATTGGTGCAAAAAATTTAGAATAAAGTGTATAAATTTTAAAACTATATCCTATATATCAAAATTCTTACAAAATAAAAGATGACAGAATTATTTTATTTTAACATACTCCCTCCTTCCCGGAAAACATGGAAGTTTTGGTTTTGAAGAGAGATTTAAGGAGAGTATATTTTGGCATTGAATTTCCAAAAATGTCCTTTGATGTGATGGGTAAAAGTATGATTTGATGGATAGACTATTAGCAAAAAAGATATGATGTGATAGATAGGGTATGAAAAAGTAAGGGGTAAAAATGACTTTTTAATAGAAATGAGAAGTGTTTTTTGGGACGGATGAAAAAAGAAAGGAGAAAGGTTTTGCAGGGACGGAGGTAGTATAATAAAAGATTAATGGAAATATGAAAATAAAGAAAAAATGGTTTGACTATATTAAATGATAGAAAAACATATTGAACCTTAATAAAAATTTAATGTCAATAGATTCATTTTAAAAATGTAATTTTGAAATATCACATTTTTATAATCTACTCCGTTTGCAAAAAGACTTCCTATTTTGACTTGGAGCAAAAATAAGGAAGTGTTAAATTATAATTGACTTCCAATTTTGCCCTTGGTGTGATGGGTAAAAGTAAGATGTGATGGATAGATTATTAGAAAAAAAGTATGATGTGATAGGTAGTGTATGAAAAAGTAAGGGTAAAATGGTTTTTTAATAGAAAGTGAAAGTGTTTTGTTGGAAGTGAAAAAAATGAAAGAGGAAGAGTTTTTAAGAACGGAGGAAGTATGTTTTTATATATGGAGATATTAATAATGATCAAAGTATGTATTGTATTGAAGACCGTAAAAATTCAAATGAGAAGATATGAGATAGATCAGATAGAGTATCATATACTATCTCCGTCTTAAAATCAACTTTCTGTTTTAGTTTACGAGATTTGACCAAATTTATTTTTAATTCAATTTATTTGATTATAGGTGTAGAACTTAAAAATAAAAGTTATATATTTAAAAACTATATCAAAGATTCTACTTCCTTCGTCCTATAAACTTTCCAAAAAAAAGTGTGCCCTAAAAATTTGTAACTTTGAAATTAATTACAAAAGTTGCTCTTACTATATAATACTACCTCCGTTCCACTCTCTTTGTCCATTTTTTTACTTTTGGAACTGTTCATCTAAACACTTTGACTCATCAAATTCTCTCAATGTGTAAGCCTAAATATAGTAATGTGTGATCTTGTTTGATTTGTCTTAACATATAGATTATTAATATATAATTTCTATAATTTTTTTAATATACAAATTACAAGATAAAATGGATTAAAGAAGTACATTGGATGGTGTGCCAAAAGGTAAGTGGACAAAGAGAGTGGGATGGAGGGAGTATAAGATAGGATATGATGTGTATAGTAGGATAGATGAGTCATATTTAGAAAATAAAATCAAAATTTTCTATTTTTAAGGTGCGTTATTTTTGTCATTGAAAATTTTTATTAGATGAAACAATTACAAAACTAGAAGTGTCATGAATATATTATTTTATTAAATGACTAATTAATCCAAGTAAAAAAAGTGAATAAAGTTTGAACGTATACATAGTAACTGAGATGATAATTATAGGATGGATGATGAATAAAATAACAAATGAAAATAAGCAAACAAACTAAGTTGATTGAATGAATTGTGCATGAGAAGAACATTTCAAGATTAAGGACATTATACACTCCCTTCGTCCAAAAATTATTTTTTCGTCCACTATTTACATGGTCAAACATTACTAAGGTGACATTATTAGCCTAATTTTTTTCCCATTTGATAAAATAATATAATGATGACACCTCTAGTTTTGCACTCGTATATCTTTTGATGTACTTTTAAATTTTGTATTTCTTATTTTTTTATTATATACCACAATATTCCTCAAAAAAATTATATACGTACTCCAATATAAAATGGTTTGAAAATAATTCTAGGCGAATATCGCAATGAACAGTGAGAAGCTAATTTTTGAACGGAGAGTATATATTTTCTAGATCGAATGAATAATACTTGAGCTCAATTCAATATTCTTAAATGCATGGCATTATTATATTATTCTATGAAATGATAAATAAAATACTCCCTATAAGGAAAAGAGTTATTTACTCAAAAAAAATACTCCCTCCGTTTTTAAATAGATGCCACTAATACCTCTTATTACGGTTGCTCGATAACTTTTGTCCGTTTGTACACTTTCATTGATCATTTGATGAAATAAATTATCCTTTTAATCTCTTAATTTTTACTCCATCCATCCAAAAGATCCTTTCTTGTTAAAAAAAGACAGCCTTAAAAATGTAAAATTTTGGTGTTGTTTTATAATTATTTTTCATCTATCTTACATATTATATCATACCCTATTATAAAATAAATTTAAAAATAGAAAATAACACTAAAATTACACCATTTTAAGATGCATCTTTTTACAAATAGGAAAAGTTTTAAGGACAAGAGTGAGTAGAACTTTTGATGTATTTTGAAACAACTTAACTTATACTCCCTCCGTCCCATGAAACATGGGACTTTTGCTTTTTAGGAGGGATTTAAGGAGAGTGTATTTTGGTATTGAATTTTCAAAAATGTCCTTTGATGTGATGGGTAAAAGTATGATTTGATGGATAGATTATTAGTAAAAAGGTATGATGTGATAGTTAGGGTATGAAAAAGTAAGGAGTAAAAGTGACTTTTTAATAAAAATGAGAAGTGTTTTGTGAGACGGAGGGGAGAGAATAGTAGCGGTGAGTGACCATTGTAACCTAAGTGGTGTGATGGACACAAACCGGAGTGAGGACTATATTATAGAGTACATTTATACCCCTCGCTCACAAAGACACAACTCCCACTCGTAACTAACAGCTAGCTAGCAGTCGCGGCACACACACACACACATATATATATACGGATCGGAGTAGTTTCTTTCAACACAGATTTCAAATTAAATGGACTGTCTTCCAGATCTACCAGCAACGGCACCACCCATGGGACTCCAGTATGTTCCTTTTCTTTCTTTCTTCTTTCTTCTTCTTCTTCTTCATCATTTTCTTCTTCTAACCGGCCTCAATGCAATACATTTATTATTACATTATTACTCTGTTCAATATTTTTATTATAACTAATAATATTTTTAGTGGTATCCTAGCTTCCATCATGAACTACGTACTATATATAAAGCTATGTATGAGATATATATATATATATATATATATATATATATATATATATATATATATATATATATATATATATATATATATATATATATATATATATATATATATATATATATATATATATATATATATATATATATATATAGATAATAACTTGTACTACGGGCCGGCGGGATACTGATCCAACTTGCATTATATTATTTGGTACATATATATATATATATATATATATATATATATATATATATATATATATATTCCCATTAATTAATCATATTTAGTACGTACTCCGTAGTTATAATTATTAATTAGCTCGCCAAAGTTTGTAAATCGTATATTTTCATTATTACTTCTGTCTTTTTCTGTCGGTGTTACAAAGGGAATCAACCAAATTAAACACTCCCTATTATTTGACATTTGCATATATATATATATATATATATATATATATATATATATATATATATATATATATATTCTGTCTACAATTTTATCTATATCTCCATGACTCAATATAATTAATTAAATTTGATTCCATATATAAATACGGAGTAATAGAATACTTTTTGGATTTAATTACTTATTATATAGCTGTTTCTATATGTAATTTCAGGAGAAGGAATGGGAATCCACTAGACCTTAATCACTTACCAGCAGCGGATGGAGATCACTCCAGCATTATTGTTGATGGAAAACAACACCCATCAGAAGACACCTCTTCTTGTGCTGCCGGTATTTTTTTATTTTATTTTATTTTTTACTATAAAATTGTTTTTATCATTCTCTGCAGACCCATCTACCAATGTCAAGAGTTTAGTTTTCGAGCTAGCTAGCTATTATCATTTCCTTAAAAAAATAAGAATGAGAAGATGATCACGAAGTTTGTGATCATCTTTTTTTTAAAAAAATATTTTAAATAGATAGGTGAACCGAACGTACAGGAAGGAAATAAAGTGGTCAAATGTTCCTTCTATGGTGTCCGTTTGCGAGAAAATGTTAACAAATAGGTCAACAAACGGGTTCACATTTGTAATGCTTTTTCCCATGTAACCATTTAGTACATTAGATTTTTTTAAATGTTTTAATTGATTTTTTTTTAATGTTTTAACTTATTGTTTATAAGTTAATATCGATATGTAGTGGAGTAATAAAAGAAGTGAAATTGCATAATGAAGTGTTTAAGAGATAAGAAAAATAAAATTAGGCGCAAGATACTTTTCACAAATGAAAAGTGAAATCTTTATTTGAGATTCGATGGTTAAAAAAAAAAGTGAAACTTCTTTAGGGGAGAGATATAAAGTTTTACGGATGGGAGTATCATTTTGCCAGCTACGTTAATGTAACAACACTATAGAGCTGAGGTAGTGGAAAGCATGAAAACTGATAATAATCCATGTTACAAGAGGACCACAAACTGAAACTTGAGAATATAAATAAATCGAAGTTAGCCAGGCTTGATTATTATTGTGCAATACCTTTCTATCCATTAAACTACTAATTCTATCTGAATCTATTTGTACACTTTCTAAAACATTTGAAATATTTGCACTAAATAGAACTAAAATTTAAGTTATTTTCTAAATAGCACTTAAATTATTGTATTCCTTAAATAACACTTAATAAATGTCTAGTGATAGCGAAGATTTATCTGAATAATGACTAATGGATAATGACTAAAAGTGCTACATTGAAAAAACACATATAACGCTATTTAGTGAAAGTCATTATGTTTTAGTGCTAAGTAAGTAAATTTCCAATATATAACACTTTAAGAACACCTTTTTCATTTATCAGAGCATTAACAATATATTTTTTAAGGGTCATTTGGATTTTCTTATTTGCTAAAAAATGATAAGAAGATAACTATTTACTTAATTTCACTTACTTAACTACAAATAAATTGTACGGTTGAAGTTTTGTTGAAGAGAGAAAAAATGTGAAAAACTAATTTCTCTCTTTAATGAAATGAAAAATTCTTTTCGCGCTAACACAAAAAAAGAACAAAAACCTCTTTTAGGTTTTGTTTGGTAATGTAACTATTTTTTATTTGTGTTGGCGGGTTCAGTTATTTTCACGTGATCTTGATGTCACTAGTTCGAATTTTGAAGTGCCTTCGTTGGATTATTTTTTCTAAAAAAGAAAAAAAAGACACAAGGTAAGGTTTGACTATTGAGCCCCATAAAAAACCAGGACCCCTTTACCTATACGCCCGTTAATTTATTTTATTATCCCAAGCTTGCTCTTTTTATTTATTTAACTATACTCCCTTAAAAATTAAAATTATATACTTACTCCGTCCCTAAATAAATTTTCCTTTTTGACTTTTTGAGGATTTAAGGGAGGGATATTTTTGTGTTGACTTTCCAAAAATACCCTTGATGTGATGTGTAAAAGTAAGATGTAATGTGTAGATTATTAGTAAAAAGGTATGATGTGATAGGTGGGGTATGAAAAAGTAAGGGGTAAAAGGGGTTTTTTAAGGAAAATGAGAAGTGTATTTGGGACAAAGAAAAAACGAAAAGGAAAGTTTATTTAGGGACGGAGAGAGTAGAATTTTTATATTCACTTTTCGCACTTTAATATAATACTTTCCGTACTGCTCTAGTTAAGTACCAAGCATGTAAATTTTAAGAATAAACTAACTTCACTCTGGTAATAAATTCGCCATTACCGAATATTTATTTTGAACTATTTCTGCTATCAAAATCTAATTTATCTCCTGCATTACAATTTATGTTTTTCGAATGAAGTTATTATTAATTCTATTTATTTGAAAATTAAGGTTACCTTACAATGTATTAGATTTAAATAAAGTTATTTTTAATTATATTCAATTCCCTCTGTCTCTAAAACTATTTTCAATATTATTTACAAGATTCTTCCTCTGTTCAAAAAAATTTCTTCTCCTTCACTATTCAATGGATCTTAAATTATTTACTTTATTTGTCTGTTTCGTTACCTATTTGATAGAATAATTTGTAATAATACCACCTCTATTTTGTATATTTTCCTATTTGGTTTTTAAATTTGTAATTTTATTTTTTACTTTTATACTATGGAGTATTATGTTAAATAATTTTAAAAATAACTTGCATCAAACTTTAAAAAACATGGCAGGAAGAAAAGCTTGGAAGGGAGGGATCGAGGATAGGTTTTGTGGTTGACTTTCTACTCATACTTTATTCATAGTCCTAATATAATGCACTTTAATCTTTAGGGAACCATCTCGTCAAGGAATAGTAACCAATAGTAAGGGCAAATAGCTCTATTGCCTCTATTATACCAAAAGTAGAAATCTTTTTGGGGAGGCATGAAAGTGAAAGTAGAAACAATTTTAGGAACCAAAGTATTCATTTTTAAATTAAAGAAAATTTTAGAAAGTAAATTGATGAAATTCTCCAATTATATATAAAACACAATATTAAGTGTTCTACAAAGAGTTACGCTTTCATTATCTTATGATCCATATGTGAATTGTTGACATTCTCTTACTTTTAAGGCTGACATGAAATTTTTTAATTCTTCCTAAAGAACTCAATTCATCCATTGTGTTTATATATACTAAAGTCCATAAAATGAATATTGACCTTAGGACCATAGAAAAATTTAGTTTCTACAAAATAAGAGATTATTTCACTATTTTAATTTATTTTATCACATTAAAAAAACCATGAAATTATAACAACAATAATCCACTTGAATCATTCAAAAATAAGATTTTAGAAGGGTGTGTGTAGGAAGACCTTTGACCCTACTCGAATATAGGGAAGCTGTTTCCAAGAGATCCGAGCAAACCATGAAAATTACTACAGAGTATAAAAAGAGAATACTCTGAGTATGGTTTAACACGTAGAGTGAAACCCTCTATTTGGAACGGGTAAAGTATTACGGAGTATTTTTCTCATCTGAATCAATATAAAAAAAGAAATCACCTTTTTAGAATTCATTGGAAAAGGAAAGGAATTGTGAAGTGAGGATGACATTGTCTACTAGTATAGAGTATAGAGGAGTAAAAAATTACTCGTAGTTGAAAATTAGTGAGAAAAAAATACATGAAATTTAGATTATGAAATTTTTGTGGATTTGGAATTAAATTCTTATTTCAAATTTCCAATTCCGAAATTTCCAATTCTAAATTTTAAATTTTATAACACAGAAAAGATATTGAATCCTTAATTTGTAATTGAATTATAAATCAATTTCTTAAATATGTCAAACAAAAAAACTCGAATTGAGTTAGAATTCAATTCCATTGAATTCAATCTATATAGTTTCAATTAGAATTCAATTCTAATTTCGTATATCACACGATGTCATATAAATGGTTTAAAGTAAAGATAATAACAAGCATATAAATTTAATCAACAATTTATTATATAAAGATAAAAATGTACGATATATATATTTCCCTTCGTTAATGTATGGATAGGAAGTATGAATGACTTCATCTCTTCCATTAAAATTTTCATACCCTCTCTCTTTCGGTTATTTTTATCCACTTTTAACTTTTTTCGATCAAAATGGTAAATATTGACTTTAAATCAAATAAAAATGATACTCCGTATTAGATATTGATACAAAATTAGTTTCATTAGATTTATTTTATAAAATATTTTTAAAATATTTTTTTATTTAATTAATATACAATATATATTTTATTTAATTACAAGTCAATGGTTGAAAACGATTGACTGAAAAAAGTCAAAACTAGAAAAATACTTCAGGACAGACGTAGTACCTAAATATTTTTTTCATTCATCCAAAAAAAATTGAAGAATTTATTTATGTAGCACTAAAACATAATGACGTACTTTCCCTAAATCGCATCATATATTTTTATTTTCCAATTTAGCACTTTTATTTATTATCCATTAGTCATTATCCAAGTAAAATGTTCACCATCACTGGATATTATTCCTTATTCTGGACATTATTAAGTCCTATTTACGGAATTAAAAAGTTTAAGTCCTACATTGGGAAATGACTTACTCCATCCGTTTGGAAAAACCCTTCCCATTTGATTTGGGGGCAAAAATAAGGAAGTGTTAAATTATAGTTGATTTCCAATTTTGCCCCTGATGTGATGGGTAAAAAGTAAGATGTGATGGATAATTATTAGAGAAAAAGTATGATGTGATAGGTAGGGTAGGAAAAAGTAAGGGTAAAAGTGGTTTTTAATAGAAATGGAAAGTGTTTTGTTGAAAGTGGAAAAAAAAAAAGTATTTTTGAGAACGAATGGAGTATGTTTTAGTGCTATTTAGTGCAAATATTTTTAAAAAAATTACTTTTCCTTTTAAAATGAAGAGGTTGTTGCTTTGAAAATTTCTCTATCCCCTCTTAATCATTTCTACCTAGCTACACTTTTCTTAAATTTTATGAAAATTAATAAGCTTTTTATAAATGGACGATATAAAATATAATACGACTATTTCTGAACTATTTGTCTAGTTTGATTTTTCGATTCAAACTAGACAAAACTTTTGACCTCATATAAATATAAGTCATAATGTATATATATATATATATTACTCTCTCCGTTTTTTTTAAAATACTTCCTTTTTTATTTTTTTTGTTTTTCTAAAAAAAACATTTTTTCTTTCTATTAAAAAATTACTTTTACCCATAGGTTTTCTTATCATACCTATCATATCATACTTTTTCACTACTAATCTACCCATCATATCTTACTTTTACCCATCACATCAAAGATAAAATTGGAAAGTCAATCACAAATATATACACTCTTTATTTTCCTAAAAGTCAAAATAAGAATAGTTTTAATAAAAGTAGTATAAAAACCGTTTACTTAGCATAGATTTATCTTAGTTGATATTCAAAGTTAATTAAATACAAAAAAGTCAAATGGACCAATACACCGATATGGAAGAAAAGAAATACGTACGGACTAACTATAGAACCGGATCGGACCGGGTAGCCAACTGGTCAACCCGCAAACCGAGAGGTGTTCTAGTACGGTTCAACCATAAAACCTAACCCACTTTTCCATTAGTTAGTCTGAACCCGCCTGACCCAAGTAACAAGAGTAAGAATTGAACTCAAGACCTTAGCTCATAAATATTGAACACTCTAACCACTTAAGCTACTAAAGAACTTGTTACTAATGTTATGAAATGCAATATATATAGTTTTTATGATCAATGAATTGTCTAAATTTAAAAAAAATCTAACTATTTTTAAAAGTGAACATTTTGGTGTGGTGCACTTACATTATACTTTTAAATTTTTTTGAAGTCATTTTATTCTTTTAAAATCATTAAAGGTAAAAAATAAAGATTATTTATTTTTTTATATTAAAATAATAATGAATACTTTATATCTTAAAAACATTATCATTTTAAATATCAAGAAATATCTATTAATTATAATAGCAATAGAAATAGGAGAAAATACAAAAATTTAAAAAATTATATTTGGAATTATTTCTTTTTATCTAAAAGTAAGTAAAAACTGTTTATACCATAAATTTATACTTTTTTTGAAAAAATGAGTATTGGTTTATTATTTAAGTATTTGTTAGACATTCACTATTACTAGTGACTTATCACAATTTCTATAAATGGGAAAGACTTCAAGGAACTGAAAGAAGTAACATATTTGACCAGGTCGTTGACCCCCCAAGTCGACCGGTTCAACCGATTAGCCCTTGATCCTGTCACTTGTTCGGGTTGCCGGTTTGATTTTCAAAATATTGCTATCTAGGAGTGAG